GAAGCATGGCTGGGAGATGATGAAACCTTAAAATCTTAGAGCAATATAAGCTTCTGTACCATGGATCAGTTGATATTACTCAGAATAACTTTTTAGACATCTAAATAAAGCATTTGGAATCTAAATGTAGATACAGATTTTTTTTAACTCTTTTTCTCACTATTACTGCCATGTTGAGGAGAAATGACAAGCCAGAGAAAAAACATTAAGATCTCTCAGATTACCAGAAAAATTCATTAATTATTCTAGCTGAAAAAGCTTTAATTGTTGCTTTCCTGCTAGTAACATTCCAGCTGTTCCTATTAAATTAAAATAGCACTTTAATCCCTGTCAAGTTTTTTTCTCTAAAACTCTTAAGACTTTCTTTTTGAGATTCAGTGGCACAAAGAGAAAAAATATGGAAAAAAGGATCTGAGAAGTTTGCCTCATCTCACACCAGCAAAACAGAGCTTCCAGTTCTCTTTGGTTTTGCTTAGAATCATGATACTATGATGGAAAAACAGGGTTAGCCTCCCCTTCCCACCCCCACTGCCTGAAGAAAAAAAAAAGCCTTCTGGTCCTGTTGGAGGACCTGGCCCTATTTTTGAGACATGAGGAAACTAAAGCCACAAACGAGAACTGGTCACTGTGCAGCTTTTGATGAACAGTGCATTTTTAGCTATTGGGCAGTATTGGTAGCAGGCTTGTCTCTTCCACTGTCTCCCAGTGGAGCACGGTAGCTTTTCTTTCACTGGTATCAGATATATTGCATGCAGGAAGGGCCAGCATAGGCAGATGTTGAGGGGAAGGGTGGTTGCAAAGGATGGAGCTAGACTCTTCTTAGTAGGAGGCAGATGTCAAAACAAGGAGCAATGGTCTCAAGTTGAAGCAAGGGAAGATTAGACTGGATTATAGCAGGGCACTGAGGTTCCTGCTACTGGTGAATCAATAAGTAGGGAGCCCACCTGCTGGTTGCCGGGGTAACCAGGGGAAGTCAACTGACTGGAAGGGGCAGGGCCTGGTTCTTATATAACTCCCAGGCTGAGGCCAGGCAGGCAGTTCCCTGCTGGCAGCCCAGGAGGAAAGAACTCTGCTGGAGTGAATAATGAGTAAAGGTGAAACTGCAGGTACAGCCTGAGACTGGGGACAGATGGAACATCTCTGATGTGGTGAGAGAAAGGTTGAAGCCAGATGGCTTAGAGTTATGTAATAGCCAAGGGGCTTCTGTTTTGTTTACTGTTTGACCGGAGGACCGGGTGAGGCTAGAAGGGGAAGAAGGAGGCCTCATAGGGGAACCATAACAGTGTGGAAGCCCCAGCCCCCAGCACGGGCAGTGTGAGACGCCCCAGAGCAAGGGGGCGTCGCGAGCGATGAGGGCCGCAGACAGCCTGAGCACCAGCGGGCGCCGCAAGCGATTAGGGCTGCAGGAAGCCTGAGTGCTGGCGGGCGCCGTGAGTGATGAGGGCAGTGGCTAAGACCGAACAATGTCCAGTAGATCTGCGAGGCTTGGGGTGTGGTACAAGGGTGACTGGAGTCACGCATAGCCCATAAAGCTGGGGTGTTTGGAACCCCATTATATAAATAAGGATCGGGGTAGCAGGAACTGTGACCAGGAGAACAAGAGGCAGCCTCCCTTTAATTTTTATAAGATCAAGATGTGGCAGGATAGAACGAGGGTGCTTTAACTCAAACTTGGCAAGGTAGGGGGCGCTAGGGGAGAGCATGGCAACCCTAGGATGTTTCCTCCGCCTGGTATATGGGTGTTAGGAAAAACATGTTCACTAAGACTCAGTGGCGATGCGTGGGTGGTGTATGCACACCCTCTGAGAACGCTGCTGCACCCCATCACAGCCAGCGTCCCCTGGTGGTGGACAGCGGGGCAGGCAGGAGCACTGGTGCCCTCACCAAGAGTGCTGGCCAGGGAGTGGGTGTGCCAAGAGAAGTGCCACTGGCACTTCTGGGTGCGAACCTAGCCCTTCTGGGCATGCTGCTGGCCCTTCCGGGCCGTGTTCCTTCTTAGACTCAGCTTAGAGGGAACACTGCTTCCAGGTCAGTGCAATTGGCCATGTAGGGACCCCTCCCCTGGTGACTTACTGGCTGCTGGGAGGGCAAGTGCCCCCCCCCCCGACTCAGGAGGCACCAGTACCCCCTCAGCCCCAGATGAGCCCCACCTGGTCCCTAATCTCTCAGGACCCCCTTTCAGGGCTTCCTCTCCTGTGGGGACACGTTCCCTCGTTACTCATGGACGTGGGGAGCAGGCTGGGAAGGCTACTAGAGCTGTGGGTGCCTTGTCGAGGCTGCCCAGGGCCTTGTCTTCTGTCCTCCTTTGGGGCTTAGGCCGCCTCATGTGGGACCTGACACCCAGGCCTTGCTCTCTGCTTGGGCCGCCTTGTGCAGGTCCTGAAACCTGGACGGCTGGTCCTCAGTCGCACCCCCACTGATGCCTTCTGGGTGCCCGGCCTCATGCTGGGGAAGGGTTGCAAACCTGAGTGGCCTGGGACCATTCCCAGGGTTTGGGACGCCGTGCACCGCTGCATGTACCAAGTCCTCCACCACACGCCGAGGGTAGCAGACCTGAGTCACCACATGCGGCTCCCAGAGTCTGGTGGCCTGATGCACTGCTATGTGCACTGAGTATCCCAGGACCTGAGCTGCCTCCTGGAGCTCCCAGGGCCAGGCTCCAGCATTGGCTTCTTCAACGGTGTCTTCAGGAACCTGGGGCTATCACCCACTGCGGCAGCTTTTCTCAGCTCCACTCTTCTTGAGTCCATGGTGACATCTGCCGCACATGCAGCTCCTTTTATTCACTCCGGAGGCTCCACCTCTGAACACTGGCCCAACCTCCAGAAAGTAGGTTTCAGTCAGGTCCAGGAAGCTCTTTGCCCTCACCCCTCGTGATGGGTGGGGCCGGCCCCGCCCAGCCCTTACCTGATTGGTGGATGGGCTCCACCAATCAAAAAGATGATTTTCCAAGCCCATTGGAGCCGGGCTGCGTTGGTAAGTCAGCCAGAGAGGTTTTTCAGATCCAGCTAGACAAAGCCCTGGCTGGGATGATCTAGTTGGGGCTGGTCCTGGCTTGAGCAGGGGGGTGGACTAGATGCAACCTCCTGAGACCCCTTCCAACCCTAACTTTCTATGATCCTGTGTTTCATTACTGCCAACAGATGCAGACTACGGCCAGTTGTAAGCTTGTTTCCACGGCAAAAAAAAAAAAGAGTGCCTGAAGGAGATTTGGGAGGGTGGCTTTATACACAGGTGTTTGGAGACTGCTCCCGGCATCAGGGACAGCGCAGGGAATGCAATGAGTTTGCGCTGGTCAAACCTCTTGGATGTTAGACACTTGGCATCAGAAACATGAACAGAAACAGAAGGGCTTGGCCCTTCTTTATTCCTCAGGGGAGAAAACAGCTAAAAAGGGCCAAGTCTCAAAAATCCCTGTACCCGTCTCCCCTTTTTGCCCCCTGTCCCACTCTGCTTTGGCCCTGGGGCATCCCTCCCTCCAACTCTTCCTCCCAGGGTTTGCTTCCTTGTTTCCAAGGACCCCAGTTTTTTCTGACTGAAAAAAAATTCCCAATTTTTGGTTAAACCCCAAATCTGCATGTGTCTGTGATTTTTTTTATTTTTATTTTTTTTTTTAATGAAACATCACTATATAGATATAGACGTATTAGTGGTGTTTCATTTAAATCACAGACACATGTGGATTTGGGGTTACTTCTTTAACCGAAAATTGGGGATTTTTTTTTCAGTCAGAGAAAACTGGTTATTTCTTCTAGCTTCATTTTTCTGAAGGAGGCGCCTCGCCCCGCGGAGGGCGGCGGGGAGGAATTCAGGCTCAGGGCTCTGACGCATGCGCACGGGCGTAGGGTAGGGGGCAAGCCACGCCACAATGAAGCTAGAAAGCGTCCCCGCTCTCCTCAGCAAGAAGGGGCCCACTCACGCATGCGCCACAGCGTTTTCCCAGCCGCTCGCTCCCCGAGCCCCGCCCGCTCCTGATGTCACGGAAGCTTCGATGTGGGCAGGAGCAGTCTGACGGTCTCAAACTGAGCCAACTGGGGGTCTAGCTGCGCATGCACAGCGCTTCCTTTTCCCCGCCTCCTCCCCTGCGTAGGTGGGAGGTAGTGCTTGGAACGCTGAATGAAAACCGGAAGCGGAAGCGCCCTGTGCAACGGCTCTTCCCTTCAGTTAGGCGGCTTCCCTTCCCCCCCTCCCTCCCTCGCCGGTGTTTGCTGAGATCGGTGCGCGGGCCCGCGACGTCAGCTTCCAGCCGCCCTAACCGCTACCCGCTCCCCCTCCCCACACCGCGAGGAGCCGCTGGTCACGAGGGAGCCTGTCCTGAGCCTTGCTCGTCCGC